GTTTACCTATTTACAAATGGTAAAACTACTTCTAGTCGATTAAATTGAGGATTTTATCAAAACACTGCTGCGAAATCAACTGTAGGCATTTGAAAAATAACACCTCACGTAGGACATCCGCTTGGCCAATTGCCAAGTGGCATCGAAATTAAACATTAATTATTTGAAAAATTTATCGAAATTGATGAACTCAAATAACTTCTAATTTCACCAGAAAATGGGGAGAAACGGGCGAAATCGGACACTTCCGGTAGTCTGTGCAAAACAAAACTAGCAGTATTCGTTTTCCCGAATTTTTGTACATAAGAACAGGATCTCACACCCATATACCACCCAATACATATTAGAGTGATGCAAAATTTAAAATTTTCGCTCCACTATACTTAAACGATTCCAAATCGGATCCTGACTAACCTCTCAAAATTTGAACCCATTTGGTGAGAAACTGAGATGGCACAAACTATTTGAAGTTTGTATGGGAATTACTATGGTAAAGCCAAGATTTTTGTTCATGTCTATCTAATAATTCACCATATCGGTCTGCTTCAAAAGTTTTCAACTGTACTTGTAGGAAATTTTCCCAGCTACAACTTTGCTGAAGACCAAATGCAAGGATCGAAAGTTATCAATGGTTCAATGCGCTGATGTCTTGTGATCATACTCAATCAACTGCTAAACAGGCAACATTGGTGTTTCTGGGGTGTTGAATAGGACACAAAAATCATGGCAACTGCAAAATACAGTGTTGCCTACAGAGCAGCTGCTTGATCATGTCATAAGTTTACCAATCTCTTAAATAATTAATTACTTTTTCCTGTCTTGTTTTACATAGAAACGATCTTTAGCAAAGTTGTAGCTGAGAAAATTTTCTATAAGAATGGCTATCGAACTGTTTCGCATCTCAATAAGGAAAAAGAACAGAAGGCAATGAACAAGAGATGAGATTTCCCATAGTAATTTACATGTAAACTTCAAATGGCTTGTGCGAAGTCTGTTTCTAACCAAATGAGTTGTAACTTTGGGAAGCTAATCAGGACCCGATTTGAAACCATTTAAGCACTGTGGAGCGAAAAAGTCAAATTTTGCATCAGTCTAATACATATATAGAGGTACCAGACATGTTTTGCACTGCACTGTCCTCTGTGAACAATTAACGGAAAACAAATTGTGTGTAGTTTTCGATTGATGTCACCGGAAACAACAACAGTGACATCTGATGGAAAATGAATGCAGAAGCTTGACAAAATCATTAATTGTTCCGGAATTTCACCGAGCGGTGGTACCGCCATCTTGCCGACAAGATTGGCCTTTCATCGTCTACCATCAACGCAATCTCAGCAAGCGATCGCTGGACTGCAGTCGTCGTAGTTGTCATCGTCGTCAAGGGTATGTGCAAGAAAATCGATCACAACACTACACAATCCACACTATCGTTAATTGGAAAAATACAGTGTTTAAGTTGATCAGCGCTGTGTTTCAGTTCATATGAAAGCTTGAGTGCCTTTTAGTCCGCGTAGCTCCTCCAGTTTGCCCAGTAGTGCGCCGATTCTGAGACTCAGTACAAGGAGTCTTGTGCTGCTGAGTTGTTGTCAGGCAGAACATTACACACTTGGAAAAATTGATGTAAATTTAGGTGCTCTGAGTCTGACATATACGAGCGTCAATTTTGACATAAAATTATGTCATAATAGACGCGAAATTCAGCTCAATTAAACGTACTTTCGAACTTTTCAGTCTCGGAGCACTTAATTTTACATGACATGTTTGTTTACGTCTCATCCTTTGTATCAAAGTTGGATTCCGTCACGTGTAAGATTAGGTATTTCTACGAGTGTAGTTTCAAAGTTTATAATTGTTTGTTATGGGCAATCATTCACATTTTTTTGCTAAAATATTCGGCCATTTTGGATAGTGATTTTTTTTTCAAAATAACGTATTTTTCAATCAATCGTAGTACGGAAAAATCACTTCAAATTGAAATGACGTCTGAGACAACGCTGTAGGATCCAGTCGGCGCCGCCGGGATGTTCTGAGGCATAACATCTCTGATCACGCCTTCCTTCGGATGGGAAGTAAAGCCGTTGGTCCCCGGTTCATGAGTTGATGGGTCGATAGGTAGGGTCCAGGTGTGGGAGCTGCCTTCCTGGCACGTCGGTAGCATTGGTGCTCAGCACGGAAAACAAGATCGACGGAAAAAAACAAACCAAAGGAAAAAAAAAAAACTGTAGGAAAAAATAGATTCTTTGAACAAAAAATATAACTAAAAATTATGCAAAGTAACATGCAAATCTAAGAAGGCGGAGACAAAAATTCATTTTTATTGCTATTTGACCTGAAACTGCATTACTTTGTTACTTCGAATCTACTCATGCGTTTCAATTGCTCTTTCAGTGAACTTTCACTGACATGGTTTTCACACAATTAAGACCGACTTTGAACTGATTTTTAGTGTTTTGAAACCATTTCTGAGATGTTAAGGTCTTTTTGGCCTTACAACTTCTGTATTCAATATTGGGGGGTGACGATCGAATGAAATTTCTAAAAGTAGGTCGCAACCGACAAAAGTTTGAGAACCGCTGCTCTATGATAAATTGAGTTATTTTAAGGTGAAACATAATAGGTGCGGCCTCCAGCCTATAGCTTGATTGGTTTAGAAATGGGAGCGCTTAAAGAACTTTAAGGCACAAAATTCCAATTCAATTTTTTTTAGTAAAAAAAAAAGGGATCTGAGAATTGCAGCGCATCAAGAATCAAGTTTGTACAGAATAAGCTATAATTGACCTTTCAATATTCACTGAGAATCTTTTCTTGCTCATTACCAGCATTCTACTCCGCTTAACCTCCATCTGCTAGTCCAATAGATAAATCTCAATCAGTCATACGAAATTGAGCAGAATAATTAAATCATCCCCCACAACTGATGCTACAATTAGCACGGCCACCAAGGAAGGTCAACTGGAAGGAGGTACTTGACTCGGACTGAATCGAGATGAAACGATTTTCATTTAAACACGGTTATGGGGTACCGGAAAAAAAACTGTAGCGGTCTGCTGATGGAATTAATATGCATATTAATTAGTGCGGCTTTGGGTGAAGTTTCCTTGGTATTTGCAGTCGAGCTGAAAAAAAATTGAGTCTTCATGTTTCAACGGATTCACATTCAAGGCTAGGATCCAACATTGCGGGTCACAGAAAAGTGAGAGCGAGTTATGCATTCTGAAGAGGATAGCTCGGAGGATAGTGCGACACCACAGTTCGTGTATCAAGTAGAGAAATGTTATGTGTGATTGTCTGTATATCCAAATTTACTATTGATTGCCAAACTGAGAACAGGAGCGTATGAACCAATGAAGAAGAAATATCTATCGGATGATAGAATAACAATATCATTGATCTTAAAACTTACCACAACAAAATGCCCTTTACGGGTTGAAAACACAAAACCATTTCAATTTCTCAATCAGCAGTAAAACATCACAAAAACCAACGAGTTAACAGCCCAGCTTTTTGACCCGGTGCCATTTTTGCATTGTGTGGCAAGTACAATCATACTCTATGCCCAGGGAAGTCGAGAAATTTTCCCGAAAAACTCCTAGACCGGACCGGGAATCGAACTTAGCCACCTCCAGCATGGTCTTACTTTGTAGCTGCGCCTTTACTGACTGAGCTAAGGGAGGCCCCCATGAGGATTCATGTAAGACTCATTTTGATTCAAGGAGTAAAACGAAAGAGGCCACCTTGGATTTCATGTGGAGAGTGTTTCAGTGATACTGATTTTGTTTTTTAAATAATATCATCCTACCAGAGACACTGTGTGGTGTTCGTCCTTCTTCCCACCAAATGTAAAGTGAAAATTGGCCCAACAGCTGGTAAATGGGGATCGTCACGTTTTCGGATATTTTGAGCATTGGTTGTCCCACAACACAATTCTTTAACTTGGACGAACTTTAACGATATCGGAAACGTGCTCTCCCCCACATTTTCAGAGGCTGGAAGCTGCCAGTGAAACATTCCAGCCTGAATGTGGGTGGCCATACCAAATTTGCATAAACCATGGGATTTTGTTGGCTTTAACGAGTTTTCTTTTCCCAATTTTCCCTGCATCATTTGTCTATATCGATTGGGTCCTTTGAAGACGTTTCTATCCGGAGAAAGTTAATCTGGTTGTGGTTGTGAGTGTCTGGCGAAGCGACGATTACATCATTGTCTGCCGTTGTTTTGAGCGAGAACTTCTGGTTAACTAATTTTCATTAATACCTGATAGAAGTTTGCATTGAATTGATAAAGTTGTGATTGACTTTAGTGAATCAGTTCAGAGTTCATAGACAATGATGATTATTTCTCGCAAGATGTCATACCAGATTGAATTTATTCAATTTATGTCTGTGGCGTTGTGCTGAATTTCTTATACTAATGCATGATTTGAACACTGCTTTTTGCATTGACTGAAACATTCCAATGCAATCAGCAGCAACGCAAAAAAAAACCGTAACTGTGACTGCACACGAACACCAATCAAATACGAGAGCATGCTTGGATTTTGAAAACGTGATATCATTCCAATCAAAGTAGTCCATAACGAAAAACATTGTTGCCGAGGTTCCGATACGTATGCCGCGGATACACTTGCATGGTAATCTATTAACATGAGCATTATTTGTATAATAAATTATGCGCAAATCCAAAAATTCTACAAGTGTGACTATCGAAAGAATCGCTTGTCGGGCCTCCTGATAGCATAGTCAGGAAAGGCTCCTATCACAGAAACACAAAAACACAAAAATGGTCGGCTAATAAATCTCTTTAAACTGTGATAATGGAAGCCACCAAAAGAGCGAGCCTCTAGACATTCCGATCCGATCCAATCAGCAAATAATAATATGAAAAATGATCGAAAGGACAAAAAGTCGAAAGGGACTAAATTTCGACCTTTTGACCATTTGCCCCTTCCACAACCCATGGAAATAAGCCTCAAAAAGCACTTCCCTTACTTTTTTCAGATTCAAATCCCTGCGGACACCAGCCAACTACATGGTCATCAATCTGGCCTTTGCTGACTTTGTCATCATGCTGGAAGCTCCACTGTTCGTCTACAACAGCTACCACCAAGGTCCAGCCACCGGCAACATTTGTAAGTACCTCCACCCTTCATCCCCCATAGCCCCCGATCCCCGCTCAGACTAACTCACTTATCAAACCACAGGGTGCACCATCTATGCCACACTGGGTGCCGTCGGTGGAACGGTTGCCATCGGAACGCTCACCATGATCTCCATCGACCGGTACAACGTGGTCGTCTACCCACTGAACCCGAATCGATCGACCACCCGCCTGAAGGTAGCCCTCATGATGGTGTTCTCCTGGATCTACGGTCTGATCTTTTCCATCATCCCAGCGCTGGACATCGGCCTCAGCCGGTACACCCCGGAAGGCTTCCTCACGGCGTGCAGCTTCGACTACCTGGATCGCTCCTGGGACGCCCGGGTGTTCATGTTCGTGTACTTTATCTTCGCTTGGGTGGTACCGATCATCGCAATCATCTTCTGCTACGTCCAGATCCTGCGGGTCGTCATCGGAGCCAACAACAGTATTCAATCGAGCAAAAACAAAAGCAAGACGGAACTGAAGCTGGCCGGCGTCGTCATTGGCATCATTGGACTGTGGTTCATCGCGTGGACTCCGTATGCGATCGTGGCCATGCTCGGGGTGTTCGGCTATGAACGTTTGCTGACTCCGTTGGGCTCAATGGTTCCGGCCATTCTGGCCAAAACAGCTGCTTGTATCGATCCCTACTTTTACGCCATGAATCATCCACGCTACCGTCAGGAACTGCATAAAATGTTCGGTTTGAATAAGCAGGACATGGGCAACTCGCAGTATCAGACTTCGCGATACACCCGCAACGCCTCGAGGGTAGACGACTCCGAGGGTGGTGCAAGCGAACGGGTGACGATCGAACGAAAACCAGGTAAGAGTGATGACAACGAACCCAAACAGACCCAGAATCAGGATCAGGGTCCCACAGTCGAACCACCGAAGAGCTATAGTAAAAATCTAGCCGCAAACAGAAAAGGTGCGCTTCAACGGGCTCAATCTTCCATTTCAGCGGCCGACGATACGTCGCTGTCCGTTTCGATTGATCTGACCGAGACCAACCCGACCAGCAATCACTAGGGCAGGTGATACCGCGCCCGGCAGCCCGTACACTTACAGGTGGCGTACCGGACGTCCAGGGACAACGGCGATGACGAGGGGGATGACATTTTCGAGTGTTAGTAGGAGTTGGGGGGGGGTTTGCAGATAACGATCTCCGGAACGTGGAGCTTCCGGGGAGATTTTTTTGTATTTATTAAAAACTGGAACAGTGCCTTCTCGTGATAATATTTTAAGGAGCGCTGTAGACTTGAGGTTACTTTTAACGGAAACAGTGTATACACAGAGAAGTTTGGATCTCTAGCTGATATGATAGGAAAGAGTCAATATTTTTATAGCAATGGCAGGGCAGTTACCGAAAGAGTGATTAAACCAAGTGACGATTTTTTGTCTTCGTCTTTGAACTGTACAGCTAGTGATAATTGAAGCTTTTGCCATCCCCAAGTATTCCCCCTGCTCGAAAGGTACATCCCCTTCCATTTTTTCGGCTATTTTCTCTTTCGTAAAAGGTCTATTTTTTTTAGCCGTCCCTACCCTCCGAAGTTTGTGATTTACGTCTTTGATATTAATGGCTTCGGAATGATAACCTTGGTTGGTGAGATGGGATAGAGAAAACAGCATCGTTAGCCACAAATGAATTCAAAGTACGCTCCGTTTAGGAAGCACAATCCGGGGTGGAGCACTCAATCCAATTAGGCTGGATCAAATGCTAATCACAGTTAATTGTATGAGTTTGATTAGCATTTGCTTTGGATTTTTGATCAAAATTTGTTTTCGTTCGGTTGGGTATTATTTCCTGAAAATTCCATTCATGATTTTGACTAACTTTAGTATTATCCTACATAGCCAGATGGTAACCAAATTCGTTCAAATTTGGCACAGTTGTTGGGGACCTCAATATAGATCGACAGAGCAGTAAATAGCAGGGGGTTGTGGTCCATCATTAAAAATAGACCCTTCCTAATGTTTACATTCTTTTTTAATTTATTATAAGAAATTCTAATGAAATTCGTAAATGTCTTAATGGAATCAAAAAACAATCTTTCTTTACGTCAGCGCACCCACATGAAATGTCAATATGAGTCAAATTGAATTGTGTAAAAACTAGTGACCTATCACAATCGCGATCGTCAAATAGCTGATGGTAGCTACGCTTGGTACATTCCTATTAATGTGCTTGTCGAAGCACTCTCCATGACCATCGATCAAGATGACGAAAGAAGTAAAAAGCAACTGGTGAATGTCGTCTTCGGTGGTGATCGTGGTGATCCATCGCCGATCTGGTCATTCCCGATAATCACGACACTCATCTGTGCTCGTTTTGAAGCAGTTGCTGCTTTGCTTGCTTATGAGAGTGTGTTGATGAGTGAGCCCAACAGCTTGCGTTTAATGTTGCCAGCTTTGTTTGTAACCCACACAGTCGCACGTGACGGGACGAACTTGGAATCAGGGTTCTGCATTTTCGAAACAAAGAAAATAAAATGAACTCTCCGCAAACCGCTTCATTTCGAGCAACATCGAATCGTGTTTCTTGTTATCGAGTCACGATGAACATTCCTCTTTTAAAACATGGCTGGATCATCACTTGTTTCGTTCGTCGAGTGCTTCAGTTCATTTCATTTGAAGCAAATACTTGTTTCAATTGACGCAATAAATGACTCGAAAACTGCTTCCTTCGTTTTTTCCACTTTCACTTCATTCGACGACGCAGGTATCAAAATATAGTATCCGGATAGTATCCGCACAATATAGGTTGCCGATAGAGAAGGCATCCAGATTAGATGTAGTAATAATATATTATTTTATATGGAACCAAAATTAAATTAATGAGGCCATTCTGGACTCCAAGATGGCGGCCATCGGGGTCAGGGAAAGTCTCAAATACCCCACAATATGGGTATTTTCAGAACGAAGACGACACGATGGTGCGATATTGGACGTTATTTTGGAATCCAAAGTGGCGGCCATCAAGTTTCCTAAAACGTGTCAAATACCCTAAGATATGGGTATTTTCGGAACGGAGACAACGCGTGGCTGCTGAAAATCGATACCCGATGCTATGCTGGACTACAATATGGCGTCCATAGGGTTTCAGAAAAGGTGTCAAATACCCTACAAAAAGGTTAGTTTCAGAACAGGGACCACTTTGGAATCCAATATGGCGGCCATCAGGGTTCAGAAAGTGTCAAATACCGTACAATATGGGTATTTTCGGAATGAGGACAACGTGTACATGCCAAAAATCGAGCCATTTTCGAAACTAATATGGCGGCCATCGGGTTTCACAAAAATGTCAAATACCCTAAGATCTGGGTATCTTCGGAACGGGGACCACGCGTAGATGTTGAAAATCGATATTCGATGCCATTTGTAGGCTATTTGACACTTTTTCTTAAATTGAATTTCAAGATGGCGTCGAACATCGATTTCTGGCTTCTAGATGTCAGCCCGATTTAAAAAAAAGACGGCGTGACATCAATTTTCGGCATCTATGTCTCATATTTTAGGGTATTTGAAACTTTTCCGCAAATCGGAAGCCACCGTTTGGATTACAAAATGGCGTCGGATATCGATTCCCGGCTTCTAGACGTTACCCGGATTTAAAAAAAAACCCGTTTGTATGGGTATTTGATGGATTACAAAATGGCGTTGGATACTGATTTCCAATCTCCAGACGTCACCCCGATTCCAAAAATACCTATATTGATAGCTATTTGACAATATTTTTCCAGTTGTTCTGAAATCGGAAGCCTCCATCTTGGATTTCGAATTAGCGTCGCAATCAATTTTCATACCGATTACAAAAATACCAATATTCATGAGTATTTGACTGTATTTCCACTTTTTCGTAAATCAGAAGCCACCATCTTCGATTTCAAAATGCCACCGGATATCGATTTTCATCCTCTAGACATTATCCCGATTCCAAAAATACCTTTATTGATTAGTATTTGAGTCATAAAAACTGCGCGGATTTGGATCAAACAGCTTCGCTTCAATGCAAAAGCCAAAACAAACAGCTTGAAAACCGATCGAAAGTGGTTCTGTTGATGTTGACGGGGATCTGCTCGAAGAGAAGACAGAATTACTTTCAATTGAAAGTGATGGTTGAGAGCTTCATCGTCACTTGATGATTTTCGATTGAAAGTGACTTTGTGGGGCCCTGTTTGGAATGCGTAGGCATTGTTTTCATTTTCTTCTGTCGTTTCGCTTTTTCTCATCATCGTACTGCAGAAGTTTTCAATGTTTTCGTTGTGCTTTTTAACATCAGCAGCGAGTGTTACGTTTTGCCTGTGAGCAGTGACCATTAAATTAGTGATTGTTGTTTGCCATGGCTCTACCTCTCCCTGCTTGACAAAACGTTCTGTCAGCGATAGTCGGTTGATGCGTTGACGAGTGTCGAGTGAGCGTCATGATAATTTGCATCACTGCTAGTGGCTCATTCCACAAGCTATATTTTAAAAATTATCCGTTTGGCGGGTTTTCGAATAGAAAATGACAAAACACGGGAACATTTAACGTGATCCTATTCCCTCATTTATGAATTGGCGCTTACCAAACCTTCACTACTTTGTAGCACAATTCTCTAGAATAACTAGAAATGAATGACTCCGGGCTATGCAGCTAATCATACTGCATTCATTTTTCCGTTTTGAACTTAGTGAAGATTGCTTTCTCCTCAGAAATCAGGTACGATGTTTACATTTCTACAGGATTTGCATCCAGTGTCTTCACAAAACTAGAAATGGCTGCTCTTAAAAAAATATTTCGCATACTCTCTTTCATCATCTGTTGCACTCGCTGTTGATCGTCCTCAGCGGCTAGAATATCCCAACAATTGGCCATCATTGTAGCAATTCAAGTCACCTTGAGAGTCTTCTTCACTTCCGCTTGATAATTGTCCAATATTTCTCGATTGTGTGGAGTTGGGGGCAATTATGAGGGTTAATGTACTAAACGATGAAATCTACCAAGTTGTCATGGTACCACTGAAGCGGACAAAACTTCACGGATCCTTTGGTTGTGTACACCATCAAGTCCATCATCTTATTTGTGATGAAAACTTGGGATTTTCGCCTGTACATTCTCAACACGGTTCTCATCGTAGGAGCATCCAGTCGATGTCGAGCAAGTTTCTGTCGATGCTGCCAACGAAAGTTTCGGTAGATTTTTCTCAATTCTTGACGAAATGTACTCAAGTCGATTCAACTGGAGGCTTTCGATAAACAGGTTCTAAGAGATTCTGGTGGAGATTAACGATGTCGCCAATTAAAGTTCCAGTGGATTTTTCAGAATTGTTGACGGAGCAGGTTCCAGTCGATTCAGAAGGAGATTTTCGATGCTACCATATCTTCACCTCGGAATGAACTGGAACCTTCTCCGGGAGGGGGTACCGATAATCTTCAATGGAATCGACTGGAACCTCTTCCATCGACAACTGTGGTGACTGGACCGAGGTTTCCAGCCTCGGTCACGGTTTCACGAATCTACCGCTCAGCTGGTGGTCCGATGTAGTAACCGGACTGAGGTTTCCAGCCTCAGTCACGGTTCCACGAATCTGCTGCTCCCTCTGTTGGTCCGCTAATGCCGCTATCGCTTCTGCTGGTGGTCCTTTGCTGGTCATCCGCTCTTTCCACAGTCCGTCATGAAAAAGCTGTCAATGAGCTTAGGTACCTCATATTTATACCTCTAGCTGTACCAAAATTCCTGAACCAAACAGATTATTTTTACATACGGTCTATAACCCTTCACGCTCACTTGATTCTACTCATTTCTATTCCACACTAACTCTATATACTACAGTATCCACTGGAACTTTCGTTGGTAGCATCGAATATCTCCCGCAGAATCGACTGAAACCCGAGTTGAAACCTGCTGCGACGAGAATGCACACAAATGCAATCGATCTTTTGTTGGCAGCATCGGCACCACGCTGAGATTGTCTCGCTGGACATCTCCAAGGCCTTTAATAGGACCTGGACTCCAGCTGTACTTGGCAAGCTTGTCAGTTGGGGCCTCTCTCGACACATCATCCATTTCGTTCGGAACTTCCTCACCGACCGCACCTTCCGA